CCAAAACCCCAAAACCCCAAAACCCCAATCGAAACATTTATCTGATTTTAAAAAAATTAGAAATTAAATTAATAATAATTTTCTAGTAATATAATATTAATATATGGGCTGTTCTTAATCCTCAGCAACTTTAGACGCTATAGTGCACAGAGAGATTTAAAGAAGAATGAAGAAAGGAGAAATCAATCTCACCAGGCACGATCCAGATATAACTCAAAAATTAGAGAAGAAGATCGAGAAAAATAAGAGATAGAGAACATTCAAGAGAGTCAAGCCAGAATATGACATTACTTTTCTCTAATCCTCTAGATAAATTGAAGTCATTGGTAAAACCTCTGATGGAGATCACCTAGTAAAGATTGGATCATTACAGGATTTGCAAAGACTAAGAGAAATTTAGGAGGGAAATGTTTGGGTTAATACTGAGACCAGCACTGACACCAGACGAATTATGACAGCTAGAAATTCTTAGTTAAGAGAATCTCATGACACTAAAGTCACAGATTTAAAACATTCGAACTCAGCAGGCGAAATACCAGTTTAACAGTACATGATCAAGTATCACTAAAAATCAAACGCAGACTTCTTGGATGAGCCAGCACACAGAGTAGCTAATGCGCTTTTGAAAAAGTTTTAGTAAGCTTATGACAAAGATCATGTAGTTACAATTAATCCAAATGCCTTTTACCACCCTAACAATACATGAATGAAGATTTATTAATGTGGAATCAGCATATTTCTTACGCATGTGTATAATAAAAAACAATGAATATTATAGATTAAACCATAAGTTAGTTTTATAATAAATAGTTCAATTTATTCACATTTTTTTCCTTGGTTATAGAGGGGCCAGCTAATTTTTACCACCTTTAACAAGAGTATCTTAATTAAGTAGGTTCTCTATTGATACATTTTTGTGATTTCTTTCTAAATTCATCAACTCCTCTCTGCTCATTGGAGGAGGGAGTTGTCCAGTGTTGATCTAGCCAACCTGCATTGTGTTGTATTCGATCGGAGCTAACTAGGCATTTACTTTATTATTCTTGACTAGGGGAGCATCCTTTTCGAAGGGGAACTCGATACCAGATCGTCTCAGACTACTTCCACCGGTATTACCATTACCGTCCTTCTTCGTCTGGTTCATCTTCTAACTTATAGTAGATTTGGCGAAACTTCCCTAAGTATCTTTGGCAGTTCTCATCACCTATTTTCTATAGGCTTATTGATCATCGCTGTCACTGTCTCCAGTTGATCTAGAGCCACCAGCATCAACAGCACCGACTTCAGTGATCTCCATTTCTCTTTCATCCTTTTCTCGCTCCATCATTTATCTGCCGTTTACCTTAGGTAAGGTCATTTCTTTTCCTTTGAGAACGAATGCTGGAATAAGCCAGTCATCGTCTTCGTATTGAGACTTTAGTTTAAGTTTGGCTATTTCGTCATCTCTGAGCATCATCTTGACAATCCTCTTATAGAATTTAAGGTCTAAATCCTGATCTCTGACAGAATCTAATAGAGATTCTTTCTAAATTTGATGTTCTTATTCAAGATCCTTGACCTCTGAGGCAGCTTATTTATATTTCATTCTAAGTTGTTTAATTACCTCTCTTTGCTCTTCAACTTCTTCTTACAGTGATTTGTATTACTTCTCCACCATAAGCATCTCTTCCTCCTTCTTCTCCTTCTCTCTAAGTAATTCCTTTTCCTTTTTCTTTTATTTCTTGAGTCTCAATTGAAACTCTCGGTATTTCTAGGCTTACTCCTTTTCCTTTTCTTCCAAAGCTGAACCACCCTAAACCATCTGCTTTTATAGATCATAGAGCATTTACTCTAGTCTATCTTTCTACTGCACATGGTCATTTAGTAATTCTTCTTTTTCCTTAAGTTTACTTTCCATTTCGCCAACTATTGATGAAGATGTGTCTTCAACTATAGATTTCTAAGATTTAGACCCCGAGTTTGACATCTTTTTAGTTATTTATTTCTTAGCTCGTGCTGACTTAGGAGCATCTATGTCCATTGACTCTTAAATCTCATCATCATCAATAATCTTTATCTTTTTTCCTTGATTCTCTAATTTCCTTATGAGCTCGTCAACACTCTCCTCAACATGCATTTTATTGTTCAGCGACTATTGATGATTCATGATTGCTTGAGTTGCAAGCCTTGGATCCATTTGAACACCGTTTTTCATTGATTCAAGCATCTCTCTCAGTTGCTTAATTTCATCTTCATATTATCTGAGCAGGGTATCTTTAGGATCTTCGTTAATCTTTGGCTTATTTTGGATACACTTTGCTCTTGCTGCGTAACGTAAAGTAGACAAAGTTTCATCATAGTTATAGTCTGCAGGGGACAAAGCTGCTATCATAATTGTCTTGGTATTACCTCCGAGAGAGTCTTACAGTAATCTGGTAAGTTTAGAATCTCTGTAAGGGATATGCTGAGATTTGCCATCAACCAATGCTGAGATAACGTTACCTAGAGCACTCAAACTAAGATTAATCTTTTAGGCCTCTTTCAATCTATCTCCTGTTGCTCCAGTTTTAGATTATCTTTCACTTCCTGCTAGATCGACAAGATTCAGTTTTCCAACTTTAAATTTTTAGTTGCCATCTTGGGTGTCTTCTGCAGTCTCAACATAAATTGTGAATATTGAGTGAGACCTACTGGAATCTTTATTCATGGCAGTTTCACCGACTTTTCTGTTTTTAACTCCTGCATTCAACAATTTTTCCAATTCAGGCACAGTCTTCACAACGACGTTAGTCAAGTCTTGCACGTAAATTCCTTTATTAGGGTCCTCTTTAACCTTAAGGTTCTCGCCTGCTGCCTGATTTTTTCCTGAGGCGAAGCATAACAAATCGAGGATTTATTCATTATATATTTCCAAATATGAACAGCGCACTAAGAACTTCTTCCCGTCTGAGGAGCCATCGATGAAGCCAAAGACATGTCTTACTGTCTTTGGGATGATACCTTTCAAATCTTCAGCTCCTGGAACTGGATCATCATTAACCACTCCCATCATTGTATGGGATTTACCACAACCAGTTTGTCCATAAGCAAAAATTGTACCTGAAATAAATGTAATCAAATTTCGTAAAAATACCATTGTAACCTTCAAGTACTGATTCTACTAAAGAGAATGCGCAATCATCATATACTTGTTACTGGGTTGATTAGTCTCCATAAACATGATCAAATGTGAATGACTTAGGGACTTCACTTGAGTCTGGCTTTCTTAAGACTATTTAATTGAGTGTTTAGTCAACGTCTACTATTTTCGAGCAGGCTATATTAAAAATGGATTAGTTTATGCTAGTTGCAAGGAAATTAAGAATAAGTGCAGTTTAAAGTTTAAATTACTTAATGCCAATTCTTTTTTATTCATAGGTCTGCATCTGACTGCTACTTTTACACTTTCAGTTGACGAGCCACCTGCTGGGTTTTTTCCTCCTTTCATTTTCTTCCAATTAATTTAACAATACTAACAATAATGATTACATAATTGTTTTATAATGATCAGGGGTTTTGGGGTTTTGGGGTTTTGGGG